TTTATATGGTCTTCTTAAAAAGTAAGGGCAAGGGTGGGTCATACTATAGGTACTATATTTAGTGCTACAAATTAGGAGAATGTTTGATCATAATTAGTTTTAAGTATGAGATTGTTAGTTCTATTTGGGATTTGATTGTGTCGATCAATCATGTTATAAAATTGACCCGGACCTCAATTTTATCAATCAATCTCATTTGGGGGCTGTAGAGAGAGACTCTTCCTGTTTAGGTTCACAGGCCTTGCCTTTAAAAAAAAAAAATTTTTTCATGCAACAGTATAACGCGCAGCACTGTATGCTTTAGCACTACGATGCTATATACTTTTGATGGTTGGAGATAAAGAGTGGAGAGTCATGGTAATCTAAACCCCAGTGTTGTAGTGTTTTGATTCGGTCTTGAGACAAAAAGTGGAACACTCTAGTGCTCCAAACCTAATGTTGTGTTGTTGCAAGTTAGGTTACACATTTTTCCTTCTCATTTTTCTTTACTACCTTGAAGGGTTGCATTCTTTGGAGTAGTTTTATGAGATTTTCTTTATCAATTCTATGTAGAATGAGTGTATGAAGAGAAGCAAGATAAGGAGAGAGATTTAAAAAAAGAGTTATTTACAAATTATCCTTATAGTGAATTTCTTGGTATGGCGTGGCTCTGTGATTTTTCTCGATTTCATATTTTCCCACATTAAATCCTTGTGCACTTTTTCATTGCCTTCTTTTTCTTGTTTGTGTTCATTGCATGCATGGTTTTACTTCCCACACTACTTAGCTTGCCCCATCCCTTTATCCTTACCTAAAAGTAATGTAGAAAGTGTGTATGAGCAACTACAACTCAGCAAGCCATATTCAACCTACCCAAGTCTTTAATATCACTAATAATAAAATAAAAATAACAAGGTGAAGTAAATAATTCATTTGTATGCAAGTCCAACCGAATTTGTTAAATTAAGTAAATATCCACAGAGCAATAAGAGGTATTTATAAAGTATTTATCAAAATAGCATAATAGTAAGAAAACAAAAATGTAAGCATTTCATATTCATATCTCAAAAAAGATAGAATTTTTCTTAGGCCATTATGCATCCCAATAGATATTAGAATTCAGACTTTTATGAATCATTGTGATAGCATATTAGATTATAGTACCTTATGACTCCTAGATGCATAGTACTATATATGTATTCAAATATTTTAGACCCTTTTAACTTCAGGTATATAATAATTTAAAACTTCATTCAAACATCAAAATTGATTCAAATTCAAACATTTTAAAAATATAATTATAAAAAAATGCATAATATAATACACACTATCACAGTTAATATAGAGTTTCATAGAGTGCCACACTAACAATAAAGAAATTAGAAGTTCAGGTGAAAGATACATACAAAAATTTACGTACATTCTTTTAGAAAATTACTAGATTACCCCATTTTGTTCATAGTTATATTTCAGAACTTTTATTATGTTATAACACTATTTATAGATGTTAGAATTTTTTTATATTATTAAAATGGTGTAGCTTAAAAAATACTTAGTGAAAATTTTTAGATAAAACATCAAAACATGCAGAATATTGCCAACTGCAACATATCAAAAGTTGCACGATGAAAGTTTTCATAGTGAATAAATTTACCTCATTTTATGTCAAAATTTTAATTAAAATATTAGAAAAATCTAGAAAACTTTGAATTATTAAAAGATGAGATAAACAAAATATAACCTACCTTTTTTTTAAATATAACCTACCTCAACTTGAATATTTTTTTGAATTAGCCTGATATGCAAAATCAACCTAAAGCCGCCTGAAATATACTTTTTCTCTTTAGAAGACTCCTTTCTCTCTCTAGTTGACTTCCTAAGGGGAGAAATGAAATGGCATTTTTGAAAATTCGGTGAAACTTGGTATTTGTTGATTGTCTTATGCTAGCGTCATAATGCATAGAGACTCATAACTGCAGTGCTCCATTTAAATTTCTAATTAAACAGAAAACATGATGCCTTAGAGCCCAAAACCATTGCTAAAACAGTCCAATTAAATGCCACAATGATAAAGAACTCAGTGTTGTAATGCCACCCCTAATGTTGCATCACTCTCAAGGAAAATTTTTAAAATTTATATTTCATACACATAGACCTTTAGGACATGCCCTAGAGATAAAATTCATGCATTCATACATATACAAAATATTCACAGATACATACAAAATAAAAATGCAAGAAATTCAAGCATACATGTTATACCAAATCGGGTTCAAAATAATCCAGAGCATTGTAGTTATAGATGTTACAATCTACCATTCTAAAAAATTGTCATCTTCAACATGTTAGTGTATGATTCAATCAAACATAATAGTGTATAATTACTTTATCTCATATTCCTTCTCCCTTGTGACCTCTCTATTAGATCGACCCTTCCATTGTACTTTAATCATTAGAATTTGTTTTCTTCTTAATTTTCTCACATCATATGCCATAATATTTTTAGGTTCCCCTCCATAACTCATCTTAGGTTGTACTTTAATTTTCTATTAAGAAATTTTTCTTTTTGTATCAAAAATATATTTCCTTCAAAAGGACACATGAAAGACATTGTGAACTTTAGACATATGCTCTAGTAGAAATATATTATAAGAACAGTTTCTAATTCTCTCAATAACATCAAAAGGTCTAATGTACTTGGACTCAGGTTGCCTTCCTTACTAAATCAAATAACTTCTTTTATTGAACTCACTTTCAAAGATACAAAGTCTATAACTTGAAATTCTATTGATTGATGTTTTGAATCATAGTATTTCCTTTGTCTATCTTGTGTAAATTTTAATCTATCTTGGATAAGATGGATTTTTTTAGTAGCATCACCAATTAGAGATGGCCATAACATACTTCTTTCTCTAATTTTTTTGTCCAAGATAAAGGCATTATATAATTTCTAACATATAGAACTTCGTAAGGGGGCCATATCGATGATTGAAAGTTATTTTTGCATGCAAATTAAATCAGAGGGATGTGGTCTTCCAACTATCACCAAAATTCAAAACACAGAGTCTCAAAAGATCTTCTAGTACATGAATAATCCTCTTCGACTAATTGTCTATTTATGGACGAAAAGTGATACTATAATACATTTTTATTCCTAGACTTCTATGAATATTTCTCTATAGGTGAGAAGTGAATCTACTATCATGGTCAGTAATGATTATCTGAGGTATTCTATGTAGTATGTCATTACCTAGATAATAGCATGTCATTACCTTAATTGGGGAAATCACATAGCAAAATTCATGACCACTTCTTCCCACTTTCTTTCAAGAATGAGCAAATGCTACAATACAAAACTAGGTCATTTATGTTCTGTCTTCACTAGCTGACAAGTCTAGTATTTAGGAAAAATTATTAGGTGCGGAGTGCGTATTGTCTGCACAAGCACTAGGTACCTAGCGATATCCAGCGATACCGAGTGCAAGTACCACTAGATACTAATGCTTGTGCAGACGGTTCTCCCCATCTGCACTCCGCACCTAATAATCTCTCAGTATTTAGACACAAAATCAGCAACTTCCCTTTTCATTCCTACCCATTCATTACTTCTGCTTCATATTATTAAAAATTGTGTTGCTCCCTAGATGAATAACATATCTAGAGTAATGTGACTCATGTAGAATTTCATTACTCATATTTATTTGTAGTTCATGCCCTTACCAAATTAGTTTTGATCCATGAACTTAAAATATTATATTTTTTAGTATCTATAATTCTTTCCCCAAAGTTGGTTGCACAATCATCTAACTCTATCAGAGTATAAATCAGTAAACTTTATCACATTACCTCAAGTTAGTTAAATAAACTAATTTAAATTAACTAACAACTTTAATAATAATTAATAAATAGTTTTAGTAACAATTTTTATAAATAGCAAATTAGCTAATTATTAATAGTTTATGGTATTTTATATTAACTAACAGCTGATTAACAATTTTAAACTAATTAAAAAAATTTATTAATTAATTAACTAATTTAACCTAACTAACAATTTTAATAATTAATTTCCATGCCTGTTTTGGTCCCTCTTCCCTTCATAATATCATAATTAAGTTTAGTTCACACCGTTTGTGAAAAACATGATTTTTTTATATAAAAGTAAAAACAAAAAAGTAATGCGCGATTTCATGTGCGAGAAGCAGGCAGGATTGAGCGGGTTTGGAGCGCGGATTTGAGCTGTTCTGGTAAGCTTGAGCGTGCGGGTTCTGTGCCACATTCGGTCATGTTGAGCGTGCGGGTACAATGCACGATAGAGGGGGTTGGTTAGGTGCGGTTTATTGAGTGGACCGGATAAAAGGTAAAGGAAAAATTTCAGTAAAGAAAAAATAATTTTTCTTTAATTTTTTTATTTTCTATCGAAAAATGGCCATCAGAAATCCACCGAAAATATCTCTGACAATTTTTTTATCTTTTCAACTTGTGTTTTCCTGGTAAAAATTTTTCATAAAAATCTGTCAAAAATACTAGCTACTGATAGAATTTAGTCAATTTTCGATGAAAATGGCAATTGAATAATGTCATTTTTCATATAGTGTCTTATCAGACCGGGTTCAAACCAATCCAGAGCACTTTAGCTATAAATGTTGCACAATCATATGAATCAAGGACTCTTACTAAGGAGAGCATAAGAGAAGCCCTAATTATATGATTACACCAATCTACAAGTATTTCAGTAAGCTTAACGAGTTGACTTGAGCTCGATCCATGGATTAGATAAATAAGTATTAGAATATAAAAACAGTTAAATATTGTATTTATTATATTCTTGCTTACGTGTCATTTATTCATTAGTTTGCAAGAAGGCTTTAGATGTGAAAGCTCTATATATATCCATGTATCTCTCTGGGTGAAAGACAGCAAATATATTTCATTACTTTCTACTTTTCCCTGTTCTTTCTTTCGCTTTTCTCTGTTCTTTATTTTCCACATGGTATCAGAGCCTCGGTAAGAGGTATCAAGAAATGAGCTCGGCTATCTCAAATCCTAGCGAACACCTCGATGGAGAAGGAGTCGCAGATCAGCTCATCCCGGCGACACTGAAGTTCGTCGTCACAAATCTACGCACGCTGGTACATTTGCAACTCCAGGAGGATAATTACTCTCTATGGAGAGCACATATAGAAAAAATATTCAGAGCAAACCGGTTCGAGAAATTTCTTGAACCCTCTCTGTTTTCATCTTCATCTGATTCGTCTTCTACCCCAAATTCCCAATCATCCCAATGGATTTTAATGGACCAAAACCTAGCCGCTGCCCTTTGCTCAACCATATCCACATCTATTCTCCCATATGTAGTTAATCTTGAATCCACAGCTGAAATTTGGTCCACACTTGAAACACGGTTTCAATCTTCAAACATATCCAAATTTATTCAGTTGAAAAATTCGCTCCATAACATTGCCCTCAAGAATCAATCGGTTACACAGTACCTGACCGAGATCAAGACTCTTGTCGATCAAATCTCCGCATCCGATTCTTCGGTTGATAATGAGGACGTGATTCTTTACATCCTCAACGGATTACCTCAATCCTATCAATCTTTTAAAACTGCTATACGGACTATGCTAAATCCCATTTCTCTGGATCAATTGTATCCTCTTCTCCTAAGTGAGGAGATCAATATTGCAGCTGATACGGTTAGATCTGCTCCACCTAATGATCCGCAAACCGCTCTTTTCGTGCCAAGAAATCACGGCAGAAGAGCACGTGGACGTACAACACCTCTACAAGATCTCAGCCCAACCCCAATGCTAATTTTATTTGTCAGATATGCTCAAAAAGAGGTCACACGGCGACAACCTGCTGGCATCGACTTGATCAAAACTATGGTCAGTCTCATACCACGGATGCTCACCGAGCATTAGCCGCACAAACCGAGAGCAGTCCATCCAACTGGTACTTGGACTCCAGATCGACGTCTCACATAACAAGCTCGCTCGACAACATGTCCAATATTACACCTTATCAAGGTTCGGACATGATCACGGTTGGTGACGGGAGATCGGTCAACATTGCCAATACCGGCAACGGCTTGTTATCGACTCCCTCCAGTAAGCTTGCTTTATCTCAGATTTTACACACACCGGCTTTAAAATTTAATTTACTTTCTATTTCAAGACTTATAAAAGATAACAATATTGAGATAATCTTTGATCCCTCTGGTTTTAAATTTAAGGATTTGAAGACTCAACAGGTGCTTCTTCAAGGCCCGTGTGATCGAGGATTATATCCAATATTTTCCGCAAATCCGACAGCTCCAAGTGTGGCTCTGGCTATAACTAACAGCAAATTACCTTGGCATGATCGTCTGGGGCATCCAAATTTACATACGTTAAAAACAATAGCTCATTGTAATCCTAGTTTGAACATTTCAATTAGCTCTATTTCTTGCAATTCTTGCAAATTATCAAAAGGACATAAACTTTCATTTCCTAAATCTAACACTAGAATGAACACCATTTTATCGTTGATTCACTCTGATGTTTGGGGCCCAGCCCCAGTAGACTCTGTTCAGGTTATCGATTTTTTTTTGGGAAATTTTGGGGCAAAGCCCTTAAATTAAAACTGAAATGATTACAAGTAAAAACAAAAAAAACTGGCTTAAAACATAAGCCCCATTACAAAATGTAAAGGAAAAAATAAGAAAACCCAAAAGACAGAGCAGCAAAACATGTCCCTAAAAGACTCAGAAAAACAAAACTTGGTACAAAAAATCAAAAACTAGCTGAACCAAAGGTTCAACACCATGTCTATGAGCACGAGTACTTCCCGGTTGCCCACGAATTACCACACGGAACATCGAACGGACATCAATGAGAGGAGCAAGCACCAGAGGTAAACGAAGACCATCCAGGGAAGTGTACCAAATCATCATTGCCCTGGGACATCCAAAAACTCTGTCTGATGGGAGATTCTCCAGGAGAAGCAGCTGGGGAAAGAAGTTTGAATCTTATCAAAATGTTTCCACTTAGAAACTTTAGCAGAAATGGCCCTGGAAATGTTGTGACAGAGAGAGAAAATATTGTAATGATTCCCAGCATATCTCCTGTTATTTCTCTCTCTCCACAAAAAATACACCAGACAACATATGGCAAAATAACAGAAGTTCCTTTCAGTTGCCTCATATCCTTGGTATTCTTCAACAAATTCAAATAACTGCATAATATTTGGCCTCAAAAGAAAAACCTTGACATCAGGTAACATAGTTTGTAAGATACTGAAAGAGAATGGGCATTGAAAAAAGAGATGAGATGAGGATTCTTCTTCAGTATGACAAAAACCGCAGGTTGGGTTAATGAGAATGCCCCTAACAGCTAAGACATCAGCAGTTTTCAACCCATCATTTACAGCTACCTACGCGTAAGAGGAGTAACGTATAGCAAAGTGTTTATGCCATATATATTTATGCCAAGGGACTTTAAAAATATCATCAAAAAACTTTCTTTTGAATGTTTTAAAGCTCGGGACCCCTTTCCCAGTCCAGGTAATCACGTTGTCACCATCCTGGATGTGAATAGATAAGAAAAGCTGATGCATATGTTGAGGGATTAAACTCAAATTCCAGCTGCCATTAGTAATAACATTACTAACCAACAGGCCTCTCTGCAAACAGTGCAGGTTCATTTCAGCCAAAGATTTCCCTTTCACCCACGGGTCCCATTGAAGGGAAAGAGAGCAGTCTGTATTAGTAACATTAAAGTTCAGAGAGTGTTTGACAGTAGCAGAAGTAGAACAAATAAGTTTCCAGTAATGAGAGGCTCTAGTATTTAGAAGATTGAAAGGAGAATCAAATTTAGTTTTGTACCAGCTATTCAGGGGGTAATTAATAGAGTAAAATCTCCACATAAAGGTGCAAGCAAATCCAAAGTACATGGATTTAATATCAGGTATTCCAAGACTCCCAAAACAGTAAGGTAAGGTAGTTTTTCTCCAAGAAATCAGGTGTAATTTCTTATCCGTAGAAGAGCCATGGTATAAAAACCTTGCACAAATTCTGTCAATAAGCTTGCATCCAGCTTTGGGTATAATTGCTCCACGAATCCAATACGCAATAGTATTGGCAATTGTAAATTTCAAGTATTTAATCCTACCTACAAAAGACAAAAACTTAACTTTCCAACCAGCAAGTAGAATAGTGATTTTACTCAGTAGTGGTTGGAAGTGAGAAATGGTGAGTCTTTTAGTGGAGGTAGGCAATCCAAGGTATTTGATAACATGATCAGCTTGGGAGAAATGAAGGAGGTTTAAAATGTCAGAAGTAGTTTGAGATTCCTTAGAGAAAATAATAGAGCATTTTTCTCTATTGATGTGAAGACTCGAACAATCACCAAAATATGAAAGAATATTATTCAAAGCTTGAGCATTTTGAACCGTGGCAGGTCCAAAAATCAGAACGTCATCGGCATAAAGCAGGTGAGTATAAGAGGTATTGCCACAAGGAAAACCACAAAAATTACTGCCATCCAAATAACAAGAGAAGACATCCATAGCAATGGCAAAGAGAAGAGGGGATAGGGGGCACCCCTGCCTAAGACCCGAAGTTGAGTTAAAATAGCCTTGTAAAGCCCCATTGATGCAAATAGAGAACGTCACATCGTAAATACACCCTTTAATCCAAGCAAAGAACTTCTGGGGAAAGCCTTTCTCGTACATTCTCGAAATGATAAAATCTCTAGAAATGCAATCAAAAGTTTTTTTAATATCAAGCTTGGCACAAAAGAAGTCCTTGCTCGAAATATTTTTAAAATCTCTCAAAATTTACATAGCCAACACAATGTTATCAGTGGAAAGCCTATTCTGAATGAACCCAGCTTGACTATTATGGATGATATAAGGCATAATGGGTTTCATCCTATTGGCCAAAATTTTAGCAATGATCTTATAGAAAGTGTTGCAGAGGGATATGGGTCTGAAGTCAGTGATACGAGAAGCATGTTGAGTTTTGGGAATAAGAAAAATGGCAGTGGATTTAACATAATTAGGAAGAGATCCAGTATCAAAAAAAATTTTAATAGCTTGACAGACGTAATAACCAGTAATGCCCCACGAGGATTTGTAGAACTCAAACGTGAAACCATCGGGCCCGGGACTAGTGGTAGTAGAACCCGCAAAAATAACATCCTTAATTTCCTGGTCAGTCACCTGGGAAGTCAGATAGGAGAGGTGGTGTTGGGGAATAATGGAACCCCTAGGAAATTCAATGCCATTTATCAGATTGGGAGGAGAGGCATTAAAGATCTCTTTAAAGTAGGCAACAGTTGCTTGAGCTATGTCAGAGGGAGTAGTAAACACACCATCCGAAGAAGAAATGACTTTAATCCGGTTGTGATTGCCTCTAGCTTTGATCCTAGCGTAAAGAAAACCCAAATCATCTTCCCCATTAGACCGCCATTTAGCTTTCCCCCTTTGAACAATCCAGTTAGTCCATGCTTTATGAAAATATACCAACGACGTATTAATTTCTTTGAGATTAGCATTAAGCTCAGGGTTCAAAGGATCCCTTTGAATAAGTTCCATACACCTTTTCTGATTGTGATCCAGCACAGCAATTTTATCTTGTAAGAAATTAGCAGAGGACCAATTTCTTTGTTTCAAACCTTTTTTCAAAGAATTGAGCTTCAGATAAAGATTTGTAATAGGACTAGCGTTAGAATGGGAAGCAAAAGCAGAGATAACAGTATCCCAATAACCTTCCATATGAATCCAATAGTTTTTAAAAAGAAATCTGCTAGCAAGCATGTCCAGATTACCCGAACAAAGGATAATAGGTGAGTGATCTGAGCAAGCGAGGGGATCAACTCTATAATAAGAATTAGGAAAATTCTCAAGCCAAGCATAGTTAACAAGCATCCTATCTAATTTGATGTGAATAGGATCGTCCACTCTTTGATTAAACCAAGTAAAGTTCAAACCAGTAGAAGATAGCTCAAAAGTTCCAGAATCAAATACCCAAGAGTTTAATTCATTCAGTTGGTTGTGGAGAGGTGAAGAGCCACCGTCTTTTTCATTTGCATTCCTAAAACAATTAAAATCACCCATGATGATCCATGGACAATTAATCCCCTCAACAATATGAGCCAGATTATTCCATAGAGTAGCCCGATCTACCAGAGCATTGGCAGCATAAACCGCAGTAAGCACGAAAGAAACAGAATGGGAGGTGGATACAATACCATGGATGTGCTGAGTCGAGGAATGGATCTTTCTAAAATTAAGAGCGGCAGGTTTCCATTTCAGGCAAATACGTCCCGGACCCGAATTGTCAAAATTGTTACTGCTAGCTAGCTTCATTAGTAAAAACATTATGGGAATAACAGAACCAGTCATCAGAGAGAAGGTGGTGCTGGATTTTGGCTTCCAGGATGCAGAGAAGATCAAGACGCTGAGAGGAGATTAATTTTTTACAAGCATTGACTTTTTCAGGGCTGTTGAATCCACAAACGTTCCAGCAACCAATTGCAGGGAGGGTCATTTTGACTTGGTGGTTTTTTGCGCTTTCTTAGCGCTTTTGGTCTTAGTGTTTTTGGCTTGTTGACTTGTACTGGAATTCTTGCCAGAATTCTTAGTGTCAGGCGGTTCATCCGAAAGTGGGATAATGTTACTTGAAGACTGCTCAGATTCTTCAGTAGTTTTCGGCTGGTTATCCAGGAGGAGGGGATCAAATTTGTTTGGTGAGGTGGAGAGATTGCCCGTAGGCTTAATCCACGGTTTGGGGGTCATTTTATGATTTTTTTTAGGAGAGGAAGGGACAGAAACAAAGTCATCCCTTTCCAACTCACGGGTGTCGATGGGGGTATTGTTATCTTTTCTATGGGAAGAGGACGCATCTTCCACAGCAGCAGAGGAAGGAAGATTTAAGTTTGGGATATGTTCTGATAAGGGAGGGCAATTAGCCTTATCAGTCTCTGGTTCAAGTGTGGTATTAGGAGGGGGGCATATAGCAATTTGATGAAAAGCAGGGGGATTAGGAGTAGGGATTGGGAGAATGGCAGGGGAAGTAGAAGAAGGAAGAGGAGGTCTACCTCTAGGTCTGCTTTTACTTCTGGCTCTGGATTGATGTGTGTTCATGGTCTTTTGTTGAGGGTTTTTTTGGCATAAGTTTGACGGATGAACAAGTGATCCACATCCCGAACACGGAGTTGGTTTCCAATAGTATATGACTTTGAGATTGACATCATCACCATCTAAGGATATAGGGATTTCTTCAGGGAAAGTAGATTTGCTCGTCACCAAGAAGCAGACCCTAGCGAAGGTGAGACGGGTTTTGCGGGCGGTTAAAGCATCAACAGCTAAAGGGTGTCCGATAAAGCTGGCAATTTTTGAAATACCATGAGGATTCCACACTGCAAGTGGGAGGTCAATAATCTTAATCCAAATCGGAATGGAGGAGAACTCGTCACGTTTGGGGATGAACTTAATTAGGGTTCCATTGCTGCAGGATAAAAGGTCTCCCGAAAAAAAACCACGGTCCGCCCGACCAAGCAGCTTCGTAGTCTTCCATAGCCGAGAACTTAAAAAGAAAAAATCCATCATTAAGTGAAAGCAAATCAACCGCACCTTTGGGGTTCCAAGCTTTTTTCATAACATTCTGCAAGCTCAAATATGTAGGTCTTGGACCAACGGAGTAGCCAACCAGAGATAAGCTCCAGTCTGGAGTGCCAAGTTGAAGCTCAGCAGCAGAGAAAGGGATCTTAGGGGAAGGAGGGACAAAAGAAAGAGAGAACTCATTAGCTATAGGATCTTTGTTTGTGAGATTAGAGAGAAAGTTAAGGCCAGGAGGAGCAGCAAAAACATGCCCCTCAGCATCAGGGAGAGGGGGAAAGTCAGTGGAGTAGGAGGCCGAAGCCATGAGAAGAAGGTTGGGGAGGGAGAAGCCCTCCCCACAGAGCGGCGTAGTAAGCGCGGGAAGAAGGCGCCAAGGGAAACCCTAGCAGATCATACGTCAAGGGAAACCCTAGCAGAGCCTGAGAAATCACGTTGTAAGATTGTCGAGCTTTATTCTCATTTCAAGGTTATCGATATTATGTTATTTTTATTGATGACTTTAGTCGTTTTACTTGGCTTTTTCCGCTACGACAAAAATCTGAAGTTTTTCAAACATTTGTAACGTTTAAAAACCAAGTTGAAAAATACACATCGCATAACATTAAAATCCTTCGAACCGACGGAGGCACATAATTTATAAACAAGCAGTTCTCTCAATTTCTTGTAGATCAAGGTATTTGTCACCATGTATCTTGTCCATATACACCCGAACAAAACGGTGTTGCGGAACGCAAGCACCGACACATCATAGAAACAGCCAGGACACTTTTGAGGACTACGTATGTTCCTTTTAAGCATTGGCCAGAAGCTGTAATGACATCGGTGTATCTTATAAATCGGATGTCATCTACCACTACGTCCCCATCCACTCCATTTGAACTTGTGCATCGAACCAAACCAGAATACAAACATCTGAGGACTTTTGGAAGTGTTACCTATCCACTGCTGCCTCCTCATACTCACCACAAGTTCCAACCCAACACAAAACTGTGTGTTATGCTCGGTTACTCAGATACGTATAAAGGGTATAAGTGCTTGGACATGCTTACTAATAAAATTTCATTCTCCAGACATGTTACATTTCAAGAACAAGTATTTTCGTTCAGTCTGCAGGATGAAAAGAAAGAGGGCTCATCAACTGTTCTTCCACCATTGCTTCTTATGCCGAATTCGGCTGCTGCTACAAACCGAACTCACCAACCATTTATTCCAATCAATAACTCTTATATTGACCCAGTGTTAATACCATCACCTACATTACCTGCATCTATTACTCACAATAACACTAATTCTGAATCTACTATCCCACAGCAGGTATCTCATCCGATGATTACAAGAACAAAAACTGGCAAGCTTAAGCCATTACTTCGGATGAATCTTCTGCACACGAAAGAAGCATCAAGCTCCAGTATTCCTCCTTCAAACTACACCGAGGCAGTCAAGCATCAACACTGGAGAATAGCAATGGCAACAGAATTTTTGGCATTACAACAACAAGGCACCTGGAGTCTTGTGCCTCCTCCACCAAACGTATCTATACTTGGATGTCGCTGGACCTACCGCACCAAACTCCACTCTGACGGCTCCATAGCCCAATACAAAGCACGACTGGTTGCGCAAGGCCATCGTCAAGAATTCGGGCTAGACTACACTGAAACCTTTAGTCCGGTCGCAAAACTTCCTACTATTCGTATTATGCTTGCAATTACACTTTCTAACAATTGGTAGGTCCATCAACTCGATGTCGCGAATGCATTCCTTCATGGAAAACTTACCGAACAAGTGTTTCTGACTCAGCCTAAAGGATTCGAGGATTCTACTTATCCTAAGCATGTTTGTCAACTCCGCAAAGCCATCTATGGCTTAAAACAAGCCCCAAGACAATGGCACACTACATTCACAGAATACCTAATATCCATTGGGTTTGAATGTAGCTCAGCCGACCCATCGCTTTTTTATTCTTCGTCAACAATCTAACAGTATTTACTTACTAGTTTACGTAGACAATATATTAATTACTGGTTCAAATCCAACTTTAGTAACCACTGTTATGCATAAATTAAGCCAACAGTTTTCTATGAAAAATTTAGGCTATGTGCACGATTTTCTTGGAGTGAAAATTGACCGGTACAAATATTTCTACTTCTTATCCCAACAGCTATATGCCACTTCTATATTACAGCAATCGGGATTACTCAACTACAATTCAACTGCAAATCCCACATGCACCAAAATTCCGGATAACCCCAAACCTGATGTCACGTTATCTGATCCGGAAGTCTACCGTCACATTAAAGGTTCCCTACAGTACCTAACGTTAACTCGACCAGATATTGCATATAGTGTAAACAAACTCTCTCAACATATGCATCAACCGGGATCACAACATATCTTCATGCTCAAGAAGCTCCTACGATATATTAAAGGTACAATTCAATTTGGAATTCCAATTATAAAATATGATCTTGTGCTTAAATGTTTTTCAGACGCTGATTGGGCAGGCGATCCTAGCTCGAGGAAATCCACGTCTGGATTTTGCTCATTCTTGGGAAACACCCTCATTTCTTGGACAGTTAAAAAGCAACATACAGTAGCCAGGTCGTCCACCGAATCAGAATATAGAGCTTTAGCTGCTCTTACTGTAGATATCATCTGGCTCAGATGCTTACTTTCAGATTTTGGTGCTCATCAAACGAAACCTACAGACATGTTTTATGACAATACCTCAGCCATAGCTTTAGCAAACAATCCGGTGTTCCATGCCCGGACCAAACATATAGAAATCGACCAAAAATTTATAAGAGACCACATTAACCAAAATCACATCCGTCTCCTACCAATTAGTACTGTTGATTAAACCGCGAACATTCTTACCAAAGCTCTATCAACACCTAGGTTTGAGATGCTCAGATCCAAATTGATGGTCTCCAAAGATCCATCAGCTTGCGGGGGGATATTAGAATATAAAAATAGTTAAATATTGTATTTATTATATTCTTGCTTACGTGTCATTTATTCATTAGTTTGCAAGAAGGCTTTAGATGTGAAAGCTCTATATATATCCATGTATCTCTCTGGGTGAAAGACAGCAAATATATTTCAAAAGGTGAAAAATCCATTCTCTAATGGGTTTAGATTAAAAAATTATAAATTTCATCCTAACTATCGTAATCAAAATTAAAAAGGAATCATGTATGACCCCAAATTGTCAAAATATTATTTGATCAAATATTAAGCTATAATAATCTGGATGCGTTATCATTAGTTTCATAGTCTAAGTCATAATAATAAATGATGATCTCCCCAAAAAAAGAAAACATCATCTACTATTAACTATTTGAACATGGTGATAATGATCATTTTTTATTTTAATTTTTACAAAATAATAATTTTCTTTCATCCTATTTAGGAGCCAAGTAGATTGGGTTTATTTTATCCAGTATCTTAAATCATACATGATGGCATATCTTCATAGTTAATTACATCATAGAAAGTTTTAGGCATCCTATGAATACTCATGATTAAAATAATGGTAAAAAAATTATTTTGAAATTTCTAAGAGTGATGCGAAGATAATGATGTTGGAATTTTAATAGGAATTGGATCAATTTTGAACACTTATTTTGGAGGCCAAAGTATGAAAAGTAGGAGGCATTTTGAGATTATAAAATAATTTAGAAATGTCTTAATATATCTTATGTTGGACTTTAAATTTTTTATGAGAGAAAGTTTTAATTCAAGTTGACATTTTATTAGAATTTTGGGATTAAATTCCCGATGTTGCGGACTTATGATTTTAGGTTCGCCCCAAAAAATAGATCTAAGATGGGCACTAAACTATAGTGATATGAACCTAACTAATAAAATGCAAATATGCGCTTACATTGACCTGAATTAGAGAGCAAACTAAAAAACCTAGGCACTTTAAAATCATATATCCAATCATTATAAAAGATGGGTAAGATTTGTTGTTTAAGTCTTATAGAAATTGAGGCTGACATCTAGAGAAGATTCTAATTATCCCATTTACTTATTATGGTGGGCTTATGCTCAATGTAATTAAATTTTTATTTTTTTAGTTGAATTCTAATGCAATGCATGCTGATTGACATTGTATATATATATATATGATGAACTTTAAAAATTAGGCTGAAAAATATATTTTTTTCTAGAGATGTGTAACATCCCCTAGAGGCCTAGATAGAGCTGCACCCAAATAGATCATGTGGTCTACTATGGCCTGCAACCGGGGAGGTGCATAATAAGGAGAGAATATCGATATAAATGTATGAAAAACATCGGGCATGCCCAAGCTTTATGCTTAGGTGTGCTTATCTTCTTATGTGAGCCTGATGTTTTTTATTTAATTACAAGTAGAAGAATTTTTCATGATTTTTAAGAGCATAAGCATGTTCTAGGCTAAAATAAATCCCGTATATAAAAAATAAACTTGGAAAAGCAAGCAATTTCAAAAGCACAAATAATTTAAACAAATATTATCACATAATATCAAATGAATGTAAAAGAGGCCGTGTAGAAAATGCCACTTAGTTACAACCCATGGTCTGCATAAATTAAATGTGGTCGGGTACCACTAACAACATCCCAGATTCTAAGCCTATAAATCAACACAAGTGTTAAAGTGGGGGTATTTTTTATCCTCATTTCTTTAACTTCTTCCTTCGAGCTCCTTTGATCCACCGTATCCATATATCCAAATGTAAATAACTCCTCGAAGGGGTGTTTATCTCTTTGGATCTCAAACTTACCCAAGTTTGGATCTCCCAATAGAATGAAATATCCCATAAGAGATGTTTCTTTCTCTTGAATTCAAACTGGGTGTCAAGTACCCCCACTTTAAGTGACTTTCATAACTCTTTTTTGAATTTACATTTATGAACAAATTAAATGACTCTATTACAACTTGCATATTATTTTAAGCAGTTTATATATAAAATCATCAAAATATCACAAGCATTTCTAGAAATTTCATAGCCGAGAATTGAATAAACATATTCACTTGGCCATGCTTTTAATATTAAGGGGGCTTACAATTTTAGCACAAGCTAAAAATTTTGTTAATCACATATTTTTTATCTGCCCCTCTTTATATAACTATGCATATGCACGACCACATGCTAAAAACTCCATTAGCATCTGAATCGTTCCTATCCTATGAGAAATCTAGTGCCTATCACATGTCACATCACATATAACATGATAAAGAAAAAAACATCACATCATATATAGGAAAGGAAGGATGAAGAGGAACAAGAAGATGAAGTTAGTAATGACAGTGGAGATAGAGGTCGCTGGTGACGACGGTAGAAAAAATGGTGATTGAGAGGCAAAATAGCCGAAGATGGAAGTCTTCCATAACAACAAAAATGGCCATAACAATGATATAAATGGTCTCAAAGAAAGTCCGAAAAGAAGTCACCATCGCCAATGAAAATGAAAATTAAGTGTTGAGCCAGAAAAAGAAGGGGAGGCAATAAGGAACATGGACAAAAATATTTTTTATTATTAATTTTTTTTTAAATAATAAAGTCGCAATAAAGCAAAATATATTTTGATTTTATAAAAAATAGAAACAAAACAAATAGTAAAATTAAAAAAAAAAAATTACAAAATGGGCCAGAAGTTTCTTATTTTATCCTGTAAAAATACGATATAACCTTATCTGGTTCAAGATGATTGGAAAAGTGATGGTTTATTTCTCTTTCTATAATTTCTGATGAATAACTTTCAAAAATTAATATAGTAATCGATGCCACATTAAGCAAAATTATTGTATCATCATACAGATGGACATAATACCCTATGAATTGACAGCAACTACAAATAGTATTTTTCAATCGTATTTTTTAAATAAAACAAAATCATGAAACCAATTATTGAAAATCATTAAAAAAAATTAACACCAAATGAGGCAATGCTACTACAGACTTAAATTAAGGGCATATGAATTGCTTAAAAAAAAATTAGAGTAAAAAGAATATAACGTACGTGTTTGAAATATTTAAAAGATATTTTATTGTGTAAAACAAACGTAAAAGATTTTTTTTTTAATTGAAAAATCTTTATATTTAGAATATTTTATACCTCTTTAACTTCAAATTAAATATCCCATAAATTACATATAACCATTCCAGAAATAATCAAAATATATCATAGACAGATTTTATAAAGAAATAAAACAAAATAAATCAAAATAAATAAAAAAAACAATCCGATATGGGCCCAAAGTTTTTTATTCTAATTAACCAATCTAGCTCAAGATGATTGGAAAAGGCACATTATAATAAAGCTAAGAAGTGTTGTCAATCAAACATTTTAAATAAATCAAAATCATGATGACTAAAATTTGAAAAGCAATGCAGCAAAAAAAAACACCAAAAAGTCGTAATGCTAATACACAATCTTTGAATTTGATTACTTAATCGTGCTATGAAATCGTGAAATTATAACTTGAAATATTGGCAATGAGAAAAACCGAAGACAAGGGCGAAACTGTGTAGTGGTGAGCCCCCCAAAAAAAATTAAAACTCTTAATATATTAAGGGTTATTTGTAATATGTCCCTCTTGAATTTTATGTTTTACCTACAAAATCTTTTTTCATGCAATTTTCCCCAAAAATCGGAAAGCCCTTTAACCTCCCACTATTTTCATCCAATTATGTTGAACTTTTCTAACACTAACAAATAAGCCTATGAAAAACAATTATGTGCAAAATAAATTATTATTGCACCCTTATATATATTTTTTCTTTTTTTATAAATTTGTCACTTGCCCCCCTTTCAGAATTAAGGTTGGTTCCACCCTTGACCGAAGCCAGACAAGAGTACGAGAGAATTTCTGAAGCCACTGACTATCAAGAATATTGACAATAATGAAAAAACAGGAGAGCCAAACGAGTAAAAAATTTAAAATGTGGGAAGCAACAAAGAGGATGATTTTGATACCTGGAACAAATACAGCAGCACAATGATTTTGATCCCCATACCAAGCAATTATATATGATTGATGAAGATTCAACCAACAAAAAAGAATGATAACATATGAATATTAGCCTCTTCAGTCAAATATTGAGCAAAAACAACAACAAAAAAGTGGCAATCCAACTCTCATTATTATCTCCCCTTGTAGAGATAAAAGATAAGAGGTTGTCAAGATAAATCCCCATAACTGAGGCGACGAGCCTGAGAACCGCATCCGCCATGGTAACGGTAGATAATGCCAAGCACGCATTCTGTCATGCACGATACATCGAAAGACTCGATGAAGCTAAGGTCCGAAATACGAGCTTTCGTGCCTGCAAATCGCACGTACTCTTCAAACACTGCAGTCAAGCACCAGTTTTGTAGTTTCCTGAAACAGCCGATAAGGCTACCCGTCCGGTGCTGGATTGACCAAGGCTTGGTTAATGAATAGATAGTAATGTAAAGAACTCACAAAAATAATGAAGTTTTTTCTTCTACTAATTACCTTTCCACGCTTGCAGTGAACGAGGACAGGATGGTTCCTTATATCTGAGACATCCAAAGATGGATGGGTTAAGCTTAAAGGCTTAAATCTACCTTTAATGTAGATTTAAAAATAAAGCAAAGATGTGGGTCAGAAGTCTAAGGCTTCGTGTGGGACGGCTTTGTTACTGCTTCTTATAGCTTTTGAGTACATAAATTTAAAATGTTGTACTGAAAAGCTACTTTAAGAAGCAATAAGAAAGCCGTCTCAAATGAAGCCTAAGAAAGAAAAAATTAAGTTTTAGAAAGGTACCAAGCAAAACTCTCAGCGCTCCCATGATGGAACCATTCGGTATGGTCACCAAAGGCCTCTACAGGATGCCAAAAATTTTGAGAAAAAGGAAGCATTAGGAAAGGTAAGAGGAGAAAGTGGTAAGAAAACAGATTTCAAAATAAACTACTGATTGGAGAAAGAACCAGAGCATTGAAATCAGAAAAAAACTGCATTGTTCATTCAGGCTCTGACGAATGATTGGAGAAAGAACCAGAGCATATCAGAAATATGAAGTTCATTAAATCATAATTAGGAGTAGAGAATTCTCAGTTGAATGAAATAGGAAAGTAGAGGGTGAATATTTCAAGTCAATGCTAATTGCAATGTGTTAAAGTTTGATTCTATTTTAAACATCGCAGAACAACAAGAAGATCCGCAAGGAATGCTGGCTTTTAAACCTAAAAAAAAAAAACATATCGAAAGGAACATGAATAAGTGGAGAATAACTATTCATAATTGAGTGCCAAATTTTTACATAAGCTTCATTTTATCGTACATGCAATTCAAGTTTAAAGATATTGTTTTTGCTATGAGATGCATTATAAACATCACAAATATCAGATAAAATACATTTTGATGGTAGTTCAAAATAGATCAAAATTTTCTGTTCAAAAATATTATAAGTTTTCGAGATGCTACATGCCCACTACCAACTATTCATATTATGTTAAAACTGCAATCAGAACTTCCCTGCTTATAATTTAGATGATGGTGAGCTGCCATTAATGTCCTGGTTAAGAAGGGAAGGCATATAGGGCTAGGGAAAAGAAATCATCTAATGTTGATTCTGAACATGATTTCTAAAGGCGATTATTCTTTATCATTTCATATAAGGTCGCCCTTGTTCCAAAAGATAGCACTTTCCCATCTGATTGTTAGTGTATTGCCTCATAAAAGGAGTAATATAAGCACATTAAAAAATCAATCAGCTAATACTACTTTAAAACAGAAAGAGATTCTGACATCAAATGGTAACACAAGCTTTTTTATCAATTAGCAAATACTAATCGAGGCTAAAGGTTTTTTATTAGCCCTTGAAGATTTATCAGCCCCCTAAAAATCAGCAGCTAACTAAAGCAACAGGATGTATTACTACTTGGAAAGAAAAAGGTAAATTCTATGTGACATCTTGCAAAAACAGATTAGGACCTTTCATGACAAGTGATATTTACACCAGGCACTTGGACATTGATCTCTCTTCTTGAAATTGTTCATGAATTTTTTATTTTTTACGCACTAGAATAAGAACCTAGTCTAAGAAACCTAAAAGTGCATCAGTCAACATTTATATTTACTTTATTAATTAACAAATATGTATAAAGCATATTCATAAAATTAAAGAAAAAAGATTTATGCAGATCCAAATTGATAAACACTGATATATACTAATTTGAAGAAAATATAGTGATCAATTATCCCCATCTCTCAATTAACTTATTACAGCAAATCCCAATGCCAAATTTAATAGAAAATCTACCATCAAAAAGCATCATAAGAAATAAAAATAAATAATTTAAAAAAAAAAAAAACAATCACCTTGCTACCGTCAATTCCAAACTGAAAGATCCGAATCCCAACCGAATTCATATATGCCGCCATGTCATCCGGGTAAGGCTCCGGGCACAAATAACTGCGAAAATCCCCCGAAAAACCCCTCCCATCACGTAAGAATCCCTTAAAAAAAAAACAATAACAAAAACACAAATCCAGAAAGAGAAAATCCAATCCTCACACGACGGATCGCAGGTTCAGCGTCTCAAGGAATCCAATGTTCATTGTGCCAGGAAATCCAGAACGGTATATACCGTTGTCCACCATTGCAAAATTGGACGGTGGGAGCAACAACGCTTTACCACCGTCGTTGAAGTCCCCGCCGGGAAAGCGCGAAATTCCATCACGATCGTTTCTTCCTCCCGATTTCAACACTATCATCTCCTTAATCTCATCATCCTCTTTCGCCTCCAGAATCATCCCTCCCCCTCCTCTCCGAATTCTACAGCTTGATCGAAAGAAACGAGAAGAGGCGACCACTCTCCTCTTCTTTCTTCCTTTTATGCCTTCCCGCTATCGACCCGTCGCACTTTCCGCCCTCGCTTTCTATTTCTGGTATTCCGAACATCTCATAAATTTATAAAAATATCCCGTAACCTTCCAGAAAATAAATAAGTTAATATAAACTGTTAATAATATATTTAAATTTTAAGGTATAACTGCAAAACGGGAAGATCTCTGGGGGTAGCCAGCAAGATGATTGAGGTATTCACAATAATTAACAGCCACGTCAGCGAACGTGCAATCTCTCACAAGTGCCAAAGCGCAGCCCATGTGGTAATGGATACTGGCTACGGATTTATGCGGGAACGGAGATCTTCCGTTTAAGAAAATGAACGGTGGAGATGGTTTACGTATAATTTATCTATGCGGATGGATTGTAAGTTTTTTTGATTGGTTGAAGGATTCATGCCTTCGTGGTACCGCGAACGAAGGAAGATCGGAAGCGCCGGTAGCAATTTCCAAATCTGTCCGTAGTTTTGACTGTACCGTTGAAAACAGCAAACACCGAAAACGTACCATAGAATTTAACCTGACAACCAAAAATCTTAAGGGGCTGTTTGGTAGAATGTAGGATTTCATTTAAGTAGGATTTCGTAAATCCTCCAAATCCCGGATTTACGAAATCAAATCCTGAAAACTGTTTGGTAACATTTATGATAAATTCAGTTAAATCCTATGTGATTGTTTGGCTATAAAGCAGGATTTATCCAAGGGACTCTTACTCTAGCGTCTGGATTTCGTAAATCCCGCAAAATATAGGATTTCCGAAATCCCGGATTTCGCTCGAATCGGCGGAATTTTCCGTCTATCCCGGATTTCACTTGCCGTGAGATTTGGTTTTGCATTTTAGGCCATTTGGCTGGATTTCGCTCAAATTCACCTCAAATCTGACCTAAATCCTGCTACCAAACAGCCCCTAAAAGCAAGATATATACATCTCTTCTCCAGCCGAAATCCCCTCCTCCCAATCCACCAATCTCTCAATTGTGACTCCCCATGATCGTAATGTAAACATCAACAAACCACTTCTTTCTTAGCAAATATGTAATGCCCAAGTTCCAACAACTTATCACAAAGAATACTCCAATATCTCATTCTTTTAGGAACCATAACACAACAAACTTTTGACACCAATTATGGATGCTCCATGCAAGTGTTACACAATCACCCAAGCTCATCTAAACCTCTCAAAGGCCAAGACCATAGGCACATTTAAAAATCAATACGCCAAAAAAAATTTGCCTCTTGGAATGTAATAGAATCTAACAAACTGAATAAACTTTTTAATTGTAAGAACCTCATTTAGTATTTCAACCTTAACATTTTCTATATCCTATAAGAAAACTGACCTCTTCTCAAGCATCAAACTTGTGGTTTAGTAACTCTCACAAATTCTATGATAATGAAGGAAGCATTCATAACTTCTCTCACTCTAAAACTTGTTGCATTTAGTTTAGTTAGAATAAAAATAAAGCCTCCTTTATTCATATTTATAATGATATTCAAATCATTTATGGCCTTGTTAGTAGTGGTAGCAATATTCCTTTTTAATGTTTATGATTTATGACTCTAACTCTCCTAATAAAAGAAGTCAACTTTATAATGTTATCAAATGACATTAGTGTTAATAAAAATCAAGTTTGGTCTAACCAAGGTGACTTTAACTAATATATATATATATATAAACAAAAATTCTCTTGTAGGAACTATTGGAAAAAATTGTCTCAATTCTAAGATGTTTTAATGATGTATTACCTCTAGAACTAGATTCTCTATTCCTTTTCTTCAATTGAAGGAAGAATAGGAAGAGAGGAAGGAAGGAAGAAAAAGAAGAGATGAGAGGAAGATAAATATGAGATCTCTCTTTCCACCATGCTCCTCCGCGACCACAACCTAACCACCAACTGTCGTCGGACTTTCGTCGAATTTCTGACCGACCCCCAATTATCACCGGACTTACACCCGTCCACCGATTGTTACAGGATTTTCTCCTGGCTACCATGGCCGACGTCGATCCTTCCGACCTCCTTCGCAAGAATACTTTCTTTTTGACATTCGTCGTCAGATAACTATTCTTCTAACCTCTGTCCTCCGTTACCTGTTGACTACGGTCTTTTCGACCTCCATTGCCCACCAACTACATTCATGCTCCCACCAACTACATTCCTGCAAGACTACAGTCTTTTCAACCTCAGTCGCCCACCAATTATTGTTCTTCTAACCTCCATAACCAGATAACAGTCCTTTCGACCTCCATTATCGGTTAATGATCCTTATAAATGCTGTTGCCTGTGGATTATGACCTTTCCAATTTTCGTCGCCTACCGACTAAGATTCTTCTGACATCCGTCATTAGACTACGATCTTTCTGACCACCGGTGCCTGCCGACTACAAATCTTTTGACCTTTGCCTTCAGACAAGGGTCTTTTTGACCATCGTCGTCGAGTCGCCCATCGACTATGGTCTTTCCGACCTCCATCGCTAGATTATTGTCTTTTCGACCTCTGTCGTTTGTCGACTATGATCCTTCCAACCTCCATCGCTAGATAACAATCCTTCTTACCCATGTTGCCTTTTGATTACAATCCTTCCGACCTCCGTGACTACGATCTTTTCGACCTCCTTTTCCCGCTAACTACGGTCCTTCCAACTAATGTCACCTGACCACGATCTTTTCGAACTCCGTTGTCCACCGACTATAGTCCTGTTGATCAAAAAAACATGTCAATACTGATTCTTCAAATTTCAACCATGTAATGCTCTTTATATGATGTATATTTGCTACATCAAGCCAAGGTCTTCATCCCAAAAAGGGACTCATTTTTTTCCCTTTTCAGGGATTTCTACGTAACAAAAATTTAATGTCTCGTATGAACGCTACACCGTCTCTTTTATCTGATTGCTTGTTGGATCTTCATACGAACCTAAGATGTTAAACTTTATATTTCTCTATCGCCGCAAATATTCTAGTCTATAACAATAATATTTTTGAATGCAGCTCAAGTGTTTCAATTATAAAATATCATTGAGCTATATTTTGAATCTTTTTTGTAATTATATTTATAATTAATGAATGATTAATGAAAAAAAAGAAGCTTGGATATAACATATTTCCGATTTACAGCAACAAGATCGGCCTTTTGATTTGTTTGAATAATTGCTGCTTTAAAGGCAGTCAGGGCAATTCGACCGCATAAAACAAAATTCATGCTGATATTGGTAATTCTAGGGCTATTTGCGTCTTGTCAAAACTAACCCCCCTGAGCACCAGGCCGAGCACTGGTATTCATAGATAAACCCGTCGCCGGGGGCCTGGCCAGCGGTTTTCGGAGCTCTTCTTCTCCCTTCGCTGCCCTACGATTCTACTCTTTTTACCCATATCAGGTAAAAGAATACTAAAACTTTCATCTTTCATTGATTTAGTGTCCTGTATATCCCATCCATCTATCTTCGAAATCCACACCTCCGGTTTTGATTGAATGCTCTTGGAGTCGAGATCTTTCCGAATTTTATCAAAAGCTACGATCTGGGTATTTTTCAGTAGCGTTTGCTGAAATAGGCATCGCAAATCCAGGCTTAAGCAGCTTAACTGCTTCGGATATTGTCCTTTTGACTTCTTTCGTTCCTTTGAGTGTCGGTTCCTTTTTGGTAGATTCTTCTCAGGTTCAAATTATATATGATTTTTTGTCTTGTTCTATTCATTGCATTCATTGATAAGTGCTGATGGGTAAGAAGATGAAGAAAAAGGTTCCAAATCCTCGCAAAGCCCAACTTCGGGCTTCTATGGGATCCCCAAAATCTGTGCTTGAGGGGTCTCCTGGTGATGATGGGAATAGAGATAAGAAGGCTTGCAGTCATTGCACTCAAAGCACTACTGAGCTGAATCAGATTCTAGTTAAAATCCGATCCTCTTCAATGGATGTTGTTACCTGTGAGCATTGCAGGGAAGAGCCACTTAACAGGCGAGGGGGGAAGGAAAAAGGGAAGCAGACCAAGAAAAAAGGTGCAGGAACAAGAGCTGCTGAGGCAAAATCAGAGCAAAATTTCATGTGGGTGTGCTTGGATTGTGGCCGGTATTTCTGCGGAGGTGGAGTGAGTATTTTGGAGCCTTATGGTCACGCTCGGAGACACGCGAAGCAGGACCATCACCAGTTGACAGTTCGGGCCGACGATCCACTTATCAGTTGGTGCTATTGTTGTTCTTCTTCTGTGCCTATTGAGATGCCAGAGGAGGTAATAAAAGAAGGGAATGAAACAGCCACGAATGATAGGAGTAGGAGTTTGAGAGGTGTTGCATTTGAGCCTTTGGATTTAGATAAATTGAAGGGGTACAAAGTTAGAGGGCTTTCAAATCTGGGGAACACTTGCTTCTTTAACTCTGTCATGCAGAATCTCTTTGCTGTAGATCTTTTGCGAGATGCTTTGTTGGGTTTGGATAGGCCTTTTGGTCCTCTTTCTGTGGCACTTAAGACACTTTTCACAGAAACAAGCAAAGCAGATTCTAAGGGTGTTATAAACCCTAAAGCTCTTTTTGGGTGTATATGTGCCAAAGCACCACAGTTCAGGGGGTACCAGCAACAAGACGGCCATGAATTGCTCCGCTACCTGCTTGATGGATTGCATGTTGAGGAAACAAATGCAAGGAAGAAATCAGAGTTTGTTGACAATGAAGAGCAGTTAAACACTGAAGCAACAGCTACTTTAGTTGATTCCATCTTTAATGGTCAGCTATCGAGCACCATCTCTTGCATGGAATGTCGGCATACTTCAGTTGTGAATGAGCCTTTCCTGGATCTCTCGCTGCCGGTGCCTTCAAAGAAGCATCCATCAAAAAAGGTTCCACCACATCCTTCAAAGAGGCCTAACCAAAGGGATAAAAACAAATCACGACAGGTTCGAGAAAGAGGTTTTGCTCAGATGTCTTCCATGTGTGTGATTCAGAATGGAGAAAGCAATGAACAACACTCAGAAAGCTGTGAATCCGGAATAGCTGTACCACTACCAACACATGATAATACTTTGGAAGCACAAGACTTTACATGGATGGATTATCTTGGAGCTGAGTCACCAAATTGCAATGACTTTGGTGCTAATGAGTTGGAAGCTTCTATTGTGCATAGTTCTTACAGCAAGCAGGAAAATGAGGTCACGAGCAATGAACAATCTGTTTCTGGATTGCATAATGGGACTGAGAGCATTTTGAATTCTGTTTCTGATTTGCATGCGGCCAGTTGTTCTAATGATTTAACAGTGTCTTCAGATACTTTTGTTGAGAGATCTTGTAAAAATGAAGTCCCCCAATATTGTGCTCCAGTTGCTGATATCATATTGCTTCCCTATAAGCAGCAGGACCAGGATTTGGCTGACCTGGATATGAATGACACAACCTCATTTTCTCCGGATCCAGAAAATACGAATCCTAGAAATGTTTCTGCTAGTGAGTATTGTGCTGCTAACCCTGGTTGCAAACAAGCAGTGGAAGACTTTGATGGTTTTGGTGATCTATTTAATGAGCCTGAGGCTACTTCTCATTTAAATGCAGAAACCAATAATGAAGAAGATATGGACATAACTTTGTGGAATGGTAACATCAGTGAATCAAATCTGGAAGAAGTTGATGATACGGATGTTCCAGTATCAATTAATAGCTGCCTTGCTTTATTTACTAAGCCAGAGCTTCTTTCTGATGAACAAGCATGGTATTGTGAGCATTGTTCTGAGATTTTGCAAGAAAATAGGGAACTTGGAACAAGCAAACTGCATGCAGTTGAAGTTTTGGATCTGTCTATGACGTTGAATTCAATGGTGGCTGAAGATGAATTCATATGTAACAAGGTTGCGGCCAGCTCCCATGGGTGTTCTGACAATGTCAAAGTTTTAGATAATGGAAAGTTCGTATCTTTAATGAAGAATGTAGACATTCTGGTGGAAGAACGTTTTGATCAATGTGCGGAAATGAATAGTTCCCAGAAAGAAATTAGTCAAGAAGGATCACATACTAGTGGAGAGATCAGCTGTAATAAAACCTTATATTCAACGGAGACAGATACCGCTTCTTGCTCCAATATGGCTTGTTGCCCTGCTGTTCTTGACAAAGACACCTCGGAGTCAGAGCCATCTCAATATTTTTCAAGTCCTTCAATTTGTGTCAACAGTCATGCACAAGATTGTTCAAGCAATCAAGAGAGTATTTTCGAGGGCATAAATGATCGAAGTAGTGTCGAAAATGATGGGAAAAAACCAAAAGTTGCCTCTCATGGTTTGCAGTCTCACACAAAAATATTGCTTCACAAATCTAGCGTTGACAGACCACAAGAAGTTAGCCGGCAGAGGAAGAAAGGTTTGAAGTCCGGTAAAGTTCTTCCAGCTAAGGACAATAAGGGTGAAGGAATCAAGATAGTCAAGAGGGATGCAACAAAAAGGATCTTAATTGACAGAGTCCCACCTATACTAACGATCCATTTGAAGAGATTTAGTCAGGATGCTCGTGGCCGCTTAACTAAATTGACTGGTCATGTTAAGTTCCAAGAGACATTTGATATGAGGCCATATATGGATCCAAGGTAAGCTTCCTTTTTCTTTGCCTAACTTCTTATTCAGAATAAAGCCAATAGTTTTGAATAACAGAATAAGTTATATCCAAGCTGTGCTACAGGTCATGTTCTTAGTTTGCAAATGAGCATTGGGTATTGAGGGTGATTAATTCATACTTCTTTAATTTATTTAACTTAATTACAATTATCAAAAATATGGTCAAATGATCTAAAGGTCAAAATATGGCTGCGACATAAAATATTAAAATTTGATAAAACAGGTAAACATTTTTATATACTAAATGTTAATCATTTAAGAAGTTTAAAATGATAGAAACTAAGCTTTATATAAATTACAAACTAAATAAAGCTAAAAGATTAAAAATAATATTTCTAATAAGAATGAAAAATAAATGGACATGCCTAGTGCATGAAGCTTTCGCTTAACTTTTGTTCAAAGAAGGGTTAATGTATGCACTGTAACCCTTTCATTTACTTGGATGTTCTTTGATCCAAAAACCCATGACCCCATATAACTATTGGCACCTACAAGCAAGAGTAGAAAACGAATAAGTTTAACCTAAATTTTTCAACTAAGTTTAAAATGTAAGATTCATGATGATATTAGAGTACGTGGTTTATGAATTACAAAATTCTGTGAAAGAAAGTACAATAGGTTAAAGTCCAAAATATTAATTTTTTTTTTATCATAATATCTCAATTTATGGAAGTGTTGTGTTAAATGTGCATATTTACAAATTGTGAGAGTATGATATGTTCAGATTTTTCTTTTAAAGTTTGAAAGCAACTAATTTTTCATAATTTTAATATGAAGTAGAAACCTTATTTTATTTTATTTTATTTTTCTAAAACTCTTGGTCATTGCATGTTGTACGAAAATTCTAATATAAAGATTCCCTAAGGTTACATGTAAGCAATTGTTTTTTTTATTGTCACAGAATTTTTTTACTTGTAATTTTAACTTTTTTACCTACCTATTTCTTTTAGTTCAATCTCAATTTGCATTTTCATTTTGAAGTTCTATGGTCAAAATATGACAGAAACATGAAATCAAAGCATTTAATAGGTGGATCATAGCTTCTTAAGGTACTTTTTTTATTTGATGAAAAGTGAGCGTAAATTATTTCAAATACAGTGTTTTATAAATTTATATTTGGCTTGATGAGAAAGGAATATAGAGAAAACTTTTGGTGAATTTCAAATTCACTTTGTGATTCATATTTGATGAATTCAAAACTTATCTGTTTTTGAACCAATTCCAAAATACACCACAAGCTAACTCCACCCTTGTTGTTTTTCTTGTATGCTCTACATTTCTTTTTTTTACAAACCATACAACCCCTAAATTTACACAATCATATGCACGCACAAAAATGCATGTAAGCGCATACGAGCTCATAAATTCTCATAGGTCCATATGTACATCTTTGTTGCAATGATACACCTATTTATGGAGGTATGCACTATCGAACAAGTGTCGGACACAAACACATGCTCGATACAACTCGGATGCGAAAAATATGTTTCCAATTAAAAAATATTAAATTTAAAAATGGCATACATATCAGATACACGTGTCCTAATATAAGAAAAAAATGTGTGCTCGCCCGTCCAAAGAAGAATCCTGTATATCATTGTCGCGAGCAGGGGTTAGGGTATTCTTTATTTTTGGTTTACAGGAGTAGCCTTATTTGGGTTTGCGCGAGCAGTGAGTTAGGGCATTTCTGCGAGGAGATTGATCTACAAGCAGTGAAGCCAAAGGAGGTTGATATGTGAGCAGGAAGGCGACAGAGGTTGATATGCAAGCAAGAAGGCCATACGAGAGTGAATCGTGGACCTCATGTTCCTCTTCTTAGTCCTTGTTGAAGGAGGAACACTCGAGTGCCTAGTGGTTTTTTGCTTCGTCCTCGTCGAAGGAGGAGCATGCGAGCAAACTATTGAATGAGCGATTGAATGTTCATTTTCTTGGTCTTCTTCATCTTTGCCTCATCCCGTATTTCATTTTAAATATCCTGATTTTTATTTTAGAGGATTGATTTTATCAAGCCACACATCTATCATTTACATCTCAATATGATTGTGTACCTTCTTAGATGATCACATTTTCTATAGCCTTGGCATGATTTAATAAACCTTAACAAACCTAAGAGGAAGAAATATTATTAGAATGAGTTTTGAAGTGACATGTTTATGTAATCAAATTCTTACGAATCTCTAATCATTTGTTAACGTATAGATTCATGTTAACCATAATGTTATTTCATATATCAGTTTTAGGGTTTATGAATTCTTCTCTAATATAAAGGTTTCACATATATATTGCTCTTCTCCTTTAGTTCTATACTTATGAGATTGTACATATTGATGGAATCTCCTCTGATGTGAATTAAAGGATTGTTTCATTTAGTTATGAATTTCTTCTCTATGGTTTATATATTTGTTGCTTGGTTAATGATTATCTTCATACAGCTGAGGATTTATTATAAATATCATGCATAGTGGCTAATTGGCTATTCATTTTTTCACACAAATTCATCCTGAAATTCAAACAATGGCATAAATAAGCTAGTGGCTTATTCAAACTACTTAGAAACTTAAATTGAATGCTTATTTTATTGAATTGTCTCATTATATATATAGATATATTTTGTCATGAAAATTTGACGGTGTTTATTGATCATTTGAATCTATAATTTGTGTCGATCATTTTATTCTTTCTTAAGATAATGAGCTCTATTGGCGGTGAAAGTGGGACTCCTGATGGTTCATCAGAGCCCAACATTGAAGATAACAAATCTTTGTGGAATCATGTCACGAAACTAGGAAAAACTTTTGAATGTGTCGGCAATATTGCATTCAAATGCAATTATTATAGTGCCACATATAAAGGATCATACTAGTATACTACAGAGTTAAGGCTCATTTGTTGAAGATTGCTAGACATGAGATTAAAATTTGCCCAAAAATTAGCTCACTACACTTGGTTGAACTACAAAAAAAGATTAGTGAAGCTGAGCAAATGAGTGTAAGAGAACTTTCTAAAGAGATTCCACTTCCATGTACCCAAGCTTCATATCCTTCATCTTCTTCTTCAATTTGAATTTTGATGATATTACTATAAACAAAGGGCCATTTAGGATGGAGGAATATGAATCTAAAAGAAGAAAAACTATTGTAAATAGTTATTTGAAAAAAGTTTTTAATATGCAAATGAGAGAATAATTAGATGGAGGAATAACAAGAATGTTTTACTCGGTTAACCTTCTGATGGACCGGACCGGCCGGTCCATCCTGCATCCGCACCGGCCCACAAGGGGCCGGTTCTCGCCTGTTACAGGCGGAGAAATCGCCCGCCTGGGCGTTCGGCCGAAGGAGAGGGAGGAGGCGGGTGGGCCCAAGGGGCCCACCAAATGTAAGTGAGAGTTTGTTTTGTTTGCCCTAGGGGTAATTAGGGTATTTTGGGGGTTTCATGTGAGGGTTAAAGGGGAGTTAGGGTTGGTTGGAGAGGGATCTTGTTTTGGTGGCTGTTTTAGCTTTCTTCTTCTCTAGGGCTTGGGAGAAAGCTTCTCTTCTCGAATTGAGAGCATTGTATCCGTGGAAACTTGTAAGTCTTTTGATATTCAAGTTATTGAAGTGTTTGTGAGTGTTTTCATCCAAGAAATTTCGCATTTTTCCACCGTTTTTGGGCTGTTTTTCCTGGATTCCGAAAATTACAAACTAAGCTCCATCACCTTCCTTCAACCTGGCGAGGAATCCACATTACAAGAATGTATTTACTTATGCTTGTAATAATAACCTCACAAGTTATGTTCCACCTGGATGCAATACCATTAGAACAAAGTTATTGCAAAGAGAGGGATAATATTAAGAAGTTGCTTGAGCCAACTAAAGAAGTTTGGAAGGAAAAAGAAGTTGGTTTGGCTTGTGATAGGTAGACAAATCCACAAAAAGACCACTTATCAACTTCATGGTTGTAACAAACAATCACCCTATGTTCATTAAAGCTGTAAACTGTAAAAAACAGTATTAAAATAAGTTCTTTATTTCTAATTTGATCAAAAAAGTAATCATGATGGTTGGTCCTTCAAATATCATCCAAGTCATTACTGATAATGTACTAGTATGCAGAGCTGTAATCCTACTTATGAAGCAAGCATATCCTCACATTTTTTGAACATCATGTGTTGTTCATACCCTTAATTTTGTTTTCAAGAATATTTATGCTGCAAAGAATACTAAAGGAGAAGGAAGAGACAACAATGGATCAGCTTCCCCTTTTCATCTTCCAAGAGATCCTCAATTATGTTTGCTTTGTTTGCTAATCCGATAGAAACTTTTCAATATGGTCCACAATTTGGTTAGCTAGAGAGGCCGTTCATTGGAACAGGAGAGCTTCTTTTGCCATTGAGTTATCATCTCCCATGAATTAGAATATTATGAATGTGGCCTATGAAATTGCAGCAAGGTCTGCGCATAGTGTATGAAGGCTTTCTATTTGAGTAAGGTTCTGATTTTTATTGCTTTGTTGTCAAGAATATGAAAGCTAACTCAGTATTTGGCTTTCAAACTTAGAGTGTGGTTGCTTGAGGATTGGAGATGAGGGTTGAAGAGGGCACATGAGAATGGTAGATAGAGCAATTGAAATGGTATGTTGTTAGACCAGACCGGCCGGTCGACACTGGACCGGCCCATGTCTACACGAGGTGGAAGGCCCGTGTCTACACGAGGCGGAACAGAGTTCCGCCTCTTGCTTGTGCCGACTGCCCAAACTGTGGATCCAACTGTGCCGATCAGGAAGGATTTAGGAGGGAATTAGGAGGGAAATTTGAATGTAGGGGCTATTTAGAGATTTCCTTTTGGGTTGTATGCATTAAGTAGTATGTTTTCCTAGGGTTAGGGCATCGAGAAGTTGATTATATTTTGACTGCTTCTTCATTGTGTTGGGCTCTAGCGGCATCTAGAGAGTTGGGAGAGTCGGATCTTCCTCTCCGATTGAAGATTCATTGTAT